TTAACTTTGAATAACCTGATGTCATTGTGCCTGGACAAAGACCTTTTTGTGATTAATTTCCCAGGTGTTCTTTGTGCTTCTTGTATTTGGATGTCTAGGTCTCTAGCAATGCCAGGGAAGTTTTCTTGATTATCACTCCCCACCCCACCAACCACCAAATATATTTTCCAAGCCTTTAGAATTCTCTTCTTCCTCAGGAACATTGATTATTCTTAGGTTTGGTTGTTTAACATAATCCCAGACTTCTAGGAGGCTTTGTTCATATTTTCTTATTCTTTTTTCTGTGTTGAATTGGGTTAATTCAAAGACCTTATCTCTGAGCTCTGAATTTCTTTCTTCTACGTGTTCAATTCTATTGCTGAGACTTCCCACAGCATTTTGCATTTCTAAAAGTGTATCCAAAGTTTTCAGAATATTTTGTTGTTTTCCTTTAAGCTATCTATTTCCTTGAATATTTCTGCCTTCATTTCTTATATAATTTTTTGGATTTCCTTGCATTGAGCTTCACCTTTCTCTGATCCCTCCCTGATTCACTTAATAACTAACCTCCTGAATTCTTCTTCAGGTAAATCTGGGATTTCTTTTTGGTTCAGATCCATTGCTGGTGAACGAATATGATTTTTTGGAGGGTGTTGAAGAGCCTTGTTTTGTCATATACCAGGGCTGGTTTTCTGGTTCCTTGTCACTTGGGTAGGCTCTGTCAGAGGGACAGTCTAGGGCTGAAGGCTGTTACTCAGATTCTTTTGTCCCACAGGGTGTTCTCTTGATGTAGTAGTTCTCTTGATGTAGTTCTCCCCCTTTTCCTATGGATGTGACTTCCTATGAGCCAAGCTGCAGTGATTGTTGTCTTTCTTCTGGGTCTAGCCACCCAGTGAGTCTACCCAGCTCTGGGCTGCTACTAGGGGTTGTCCACACAGAGTCATGTGATATAAACCATCTATGGGTCTCTCAGCCATGGATACCAGCATATGTCCTGGTGGAGGTGTTGGAGGGAGTGCAATGGACTCCATTAAAGTTCTTAGCTTTGGTGGGTTAATTGTGTTGGTTGATCTCCTGCCAGGAAGTAGAATTTTCCAGAGTATTAGCTGTGGTAGTATGGGAAGGAACTGCCAGTGGGCAAGGCCCTAGAACTCCCAAGATTATATGTCCTTTTTCTTCTCTACCAGGGTGGGTAGGGAAGGACCATCAGGTTGGGGCAGGGACAGGTGTGTCTGACTTCAGACTCTCCTTGGGTGCATCTTGCTATGGCTGCTGTGGGGGATGGGGGTGAGACTCCCAGGTTACTGGAGTTGTGTAACTAGGAGTATTATGACTGCTTCTGCTGAGTCATGCAGGTTGATTTTGTATCCTAAAATTTATTGAATTATTATTTTTAACAGTTATTTTGTGGGATATTTGGGGCTTAATACAGGTAGGATCATATTATCTGCAAATGCAGTAGTCTCCACTTATCCCCACAGGGAATATGATCCAAGATACCCTTGTGGTTGCCAGAAACTGCAGATAATATCAAACTCTATATATACTGTTTTTTTCTAAACATACATTCCTATTATAAAGTTTAAATTATAAATTAGGTACAATAAGAGATTAACAACAATAACTAATAATAAAATATAATTCTATACTGTAATAAAGGTTATACGAATATGGTCTCTCTCTCTCTCTCTCTGTCAAAATGACTTATTGTACTCTACTCACCCTTCTTGTGATGATGTGTGGATGTGGGATGACACAATGCCTATGTTATGAGATGAAGTGAGGTGAATAACACACACATTGTGATTCAGTGTTACGCTGCTATTGACTTTCTCTATTCCTAATTCTGTATCACAGTCTCCTACTTGCAGTAAATGGCTTAGTGTCACTTGTTTCAGGGCATCCCTTGCTGACTTTCGTGTATATGCTCAGTGCTTTCTAGTGCAACCACTGACATCAATCAGAAAACATTTTCTGTTCATGTCTTCCACTCACAAATTTAATGCCTTTTTATTTTGACTAAGTACTGATCATGTACTGTGACTATGAATTTTGTAATATGAAATGTGACAGCAAAACTATTACAAATTTCTTTTTCCTACTTCACAATTTCACAGATAGTAGACCTCAGCATACATTTTTTTCCCTTCCCTTATTAAGTCAAGAACTTTTACTTTTTCACTTTAAGGAGGCAAATATGGTTTCTCTTTGGCATATTTGAATTGTCAGCATCACTACTCTTGTGCTTTGGGGCCATTAAGTAAAATAAAGGTTATTTAACCACAAGAACTGTGATACTGTGATAGCTGATCTGATAACTGCGAGGACTACTTAGTTGGCTCACAGGTGGGTAGCATATAAAACATAGATACAGTGGGCAAAGGAAGCATTCACAGTCTGGGTCGGACAGAGTGATATGGCACAGATTTCGTCAGACTACTCATAGTGGCATGCAGTTTAAAACTTAGAAATTATTTATTTCTGGAATTTTTCATTTCGTAGTTTTAGACCATGGTTGACTACAGGTAACTGGCATTATGGCAGATATAATTTTACTTCTTTGTTTCTGATTTATTGTTCTTGTCTGATTGTTCTTATTAGTACTTCCAGTACTATGCTGAATAGAAGTGGTGAGAGTGAGCATTTTTGCATTATAACAGATCCTACTGGAAAAGCTTTTACTTTCTTCTGATTGATTATAATGTTAGCTGTGGGTTTTTCATAAATTGCCTGTATTATGTTGAGGAACTTTCATTCTGTACCTAAACTGTTGAGTGTCAACATCAAGAAAAGATGTTGTGGCATGTTAAATGGTCTTTTATAACTCATAGATATGATGTAGAATATCCTGTGGTTGAAAAATGCTAAAAATTATGCCTTTTCATGGTAAAGAAACCTATTACCACTTTGTTTAATATTGCTTTTCTATTGCCTTAGAAAAATGTATATAACTGTATGTAGTTCCTGTATTCTTTGGGAATGAAAATGGTTATGCCAAAGAATACTTCATTCCTTCCAAAATGTCCTTTTCTTCCTGCAGAATACTGTTACTTAATGGAAATCACAGCAAGACCAGCAATTTCTAGATAGTTTGTAAGAATCTGGGACATTCTGTCTATAGAAAGATAAATAGCTATAGAAAGCCTCTTGTAAGTTATACCTTAGTAAATGCTTTTCTTTTTGTAATTTCATATGAAAAATTGAATAGAGTACTTGCGGTCATTGCTACTGGAGACTCCTGCAGTCCTCACAGGCTTTTCTTAAATTTTTTTAAAATTAAAAAAAAGAAAGGATATTGGACTTTGTCAGATACTTTTTCTGCATCAAATGAGATGATTATGTGGTTTTTGTCTTTGATTCTGTTACTATGTTTTATCCCATTGTTTGATTTGCATGTGTTAAACCAGACTTGCATGCCAGGGATACATTTTGCCTGGACATGACGTATAATCTTTTTAATGTGTTATTGGATTTGGTTTGCTAATATTTTATTGAGGATTTTTGCATCAGTGTTCATCAGAGAAATTGGTTCGTAGTTTTCTTTTCCTGTGATATCTTTATCTGACTTAGGTAGTAACATAATGATGGCCTCATGAAATGTATTTGAAAGTATTGCCAGCCGGGTGCGGTGGCTCAAGCGTGTAATCCCAGCACTTTGGGAGGCTGAGGCAGACAGATCATGAGGTCAGGAGATCGAGACCATCCTGGCCAACACAGTGAAACCCATCTGTACTAAAAATACAAAAGATTAGCCGGTGGTGATGGCATGCACCTGTAATCCCGGCTACTTGGGAGGCTGAGGTAGGAGAATCACTTGAACCCGGGAGGCAGAGGTTGCAGTGAGCTGAGATTGTTGTTGCACTCCAGCCCAGGCAACAAGAGCAAGACTCTGTCTCAAAAAAAAAAGTATTCCCTCTAGCTCTATTTTTATTATTATTTATTTATTTATTTTTCTTAGAGACAGAGTCTCACTCTGTCACCCAGGCTGCAGTACAGTGGCATAATCATAGCTCACTGCAGCATCTGAACTCCTGGGCTCAAGTGACTCTCCTGCTTCAGCCTTCCGAGTAGCTGGGACTACAGGCATGTGCCACTGCACCTGGCTAATTTTAGAATGCTTTGTGCAGATGAGGTCTCAGTTTGTTGCCCAGGCTAGTCTCAGACCCTGTCTTCAAGCTATCTTCCTACCCTGGCCCTCCAAAATGCTGGAATTACAGACATGAACCACTGTGCCTGGCCTAGCTCTGTTTTTTACAGAAGAGTTTAAGAGGTATTGGTGTTGATTTTCTTCGAATGTTTGGTGGAATTCAGCTGTGAAGCCAGTTTGTCCTGAGCTTTTCTTTATTGGGAGGTTTTGATTACTTCTTCAATCTCTTTATTTGTTTTTAGTCTGTTCAGGCTTTCTAATTCTTCCTGACTCAATTTTGGTAGGTTGTATTTTTCTAAGAATTAATCTACTTCCTCCAGGCTACCCAAATTGTTTGTAGATAATTGTTCATAATAGTCCCTATGATCCTTTTTATTTCTGATTTGTCTGTTGTAATTTTTCTACTTTCATTTTTTATTTGGCTTATCTTCATTTTCTCTCTTATTTTTTTAGACTACCTAAGGGTTTGTCAATCTTGCTTATTTTTTTCAAAAACAAAACTCATCATTTTAGTGATTCTTATAGTTTTTCCTTTCTCTGATTCATTTTTGCTCAGATTTTTATTTTTTCCTTTCTTCTGCTAATTTCGGGTTTAGTTTGTTCTTCATTTTTTAGTTCCTTGAGGCATAATGTTAAACTATTTATTTCAGAACTTTCTTCCTCTTTAATGTAGGAATTTATTGCTAAAAACTTCTTAGAATTGCTTTTACTACATTCCATATGCTTGGTATGTTGTATTTTCCTTGTTGTTTGTCTCAAGGTATTTTTTAATTTCCCTTTTACTTTCTTCTTAGACTCGTTGGTTGTTCAGGAGTACATTGTTTAATTTCCACATATTTGATCATCCTTGGTGCTAGGAGGTGCATCTTCTTAGGTGTGCCAGAGGCTTGGAGCCCCAGGCTGCAAGGTGCCAGTTCACCTGTGACGTGTGGTGGCAGCAACTACTTCAGTGTTCAGGAGACCTGAGGCCCCCTGAAGGCAGGGTACTGCCTCAGCTCTGGTGTAAGGGAGCTCCCTCAGCTAGGCTCAGAGCCTGTGAGGACTGCAGGAGTCTCCAGTAGCAATGACTCCAAGTGTCCACAGTAGTGGGAGAGGTTGCTGGGGTATCTTGGTTACCTTTTCCTTGAAGGTACATGTCTCTTCTGGTTGTGAGCTGATCCCTACTCAGGGCATGAGGTGGTTAAGGTAAGGTGTTTCCCTTCCTATGTGTACATTCTGGGTTTCTGTGCTCTACAGAATTTCTGCTGGCTGCTTTTTTGCTGTTCTCCAGTGTGCTCCTTTAGTTATTTTGGTTTAAATGTACTTGTTTACTCATTTGGGGGGAGGGGGGCTGGAGTGTGTATTAGCCCATTCTCACACTGCTATAAAGAACTACCTGAGACTGGGTAATTTATAAAGAAAAGAGGTTTAATTGACTCACGGTTACATGTGGCTGGGAGGCCTCAAAAAACTTAGAATCATTAGCAGAAGGTGAAGGGGAAGCAAGCACGGCAAAGCAGGAGAAATAGAAAGGGAGAGCAAAGAGGGAAATGCCACTTCTAAACCATCAGATCTCATGAGAACTCAGTCACTATCACAAGAAAAGTGAGGGGAAAGTCTGCCCCATGATCTAATCGCCTCCCACCAGGCCCCCTCCCCTGACAAGTGGGGATTGCAATTTAACATGAGATTTGGGTGGGGACACAGAGTCAAACCATAACAGAGGGACAGCTTCTTGCCAACCATCTTGATGCCACTCCTAATTCATTTTCAAAAATTCAAATGAATTTCAGATTTCAAAATTCATTTTCAACATAGGAAGAATTCCATGTTCCTCTTAAAAACTAATTGACTGGTTTTAATATTTTCTATCAGATGTGTTGGCTCAGTGGCTTAATATAACCTCTACTTACCAGACTTGTGACTCTCTCAGGAGTGGAAGAGACAGGAGAGACAGAAAAGGCGGTGCTACTCCAGGTGTCTCATCTTAGTCTTTTCCTCCCCGTTGCCCATCACTACCCACTCCTTAGAAGTATCATTCTAAAAGGTTTTAACAACAGTGAGACAAGATTTAATGTGGGATGCGGGGGCAGAAAGGCAAAGCATATTATCCTGGTGTAGAGGAGCTGAACACCTGAATTAATTTACTCACGGGTCTTTGCTATTCTGTCCTGATCTGTGGCTGATAGAGGTTCTCATCAATGATAAATTAATTGTGTGTGAATGTGGTTCTGTAGCTGTCAGCAAACTTCTTAATCTAATCTCTTTGTCTCGTTTTAGATTAATGTTAATTGGGAATATATATATATATATATATTTTCAGATTCTTACCCTTATCACATCTTATCTTGTTTTTACTTATGTCTTTGATAAGGATTTACCAGATGCAAAAACTAGGTATTTGGTATATAGAACTTAACTTTGAAATATGCAGTCTTCTAAATGTTACTTAGCAGGTCACTGCTATTTAATACATGCCAGTGAAGATGTTATTTCACCTTTTTCATGGGGTCAAGGCCAGCCAAAAGCATTTTAAAAGAGCAAGTTTATCCCCCAAGTTACTGTGCTCTTCTCTCACCCCTTATTGCCTCTTTTTTATAAGTTACTCAAAGTTTTTACACAGTCTCAAAACTTCATTGCCAAAGCCCCCTCCAACCCACTCAAATTCTAATGTAGCCTGTGTTCCAGAAATAGCTACCTCTGCTCTCCCTCAACATATAAAATTTGCAATAACTCTAACATAGCTGATCTTGGTAAAGTGTTAAGGTATTACACTGAAAATAATCTACTTAAGCTAACTTATTCCAAGTAGTGAATAATTAACATCTTTCTAAACCTCTGGGGGCAGAGGTTTTGTAAAAGTGATTGGCTACTAACCCAAATAAATTTCTGCTCAGTAGAATTTCAACTAAAGTAGTAAAGAAGAAAAATGAAACATAATACATGTTTGAGGAGAGGTGCGTAAGAGATGGGGAAGGAATAAATAGAGGGAAAGCCATGTAAGCCTGCTAATTTTGACCTGATTTCCACTCCTCCCTTTCCTACTTCTGAGCTGTTCTCAATTTTCACAATTATTCCCTTCTCTCTGCTTCTGAATTAATGAGTTATCTTTTCTCTCTTAGTTTCAGGGTTAGCAGCTTCTGTGGAAGCAAGTAAAGTGGTTCTGGCTTTGGGGACTATTTGGATGGGGGCCCAGGCAGGTAGAGGAGGAATAACAGAATGACAGGTATACTTCAGTGTGCGTAGGCTGCTTATAAATTGTGTTCAAAAATTAGGCACTGAGCAGAACTGCATTTGAAAAGTATAGAATATCTTTTTGCCCCTTTGTAGGAAAACAAGTGAATTAATACACATATGTAAGGGGGAAAACAGACCAGGATGTAATATCCGGCAATATATCAAGAACATGCTTTCATATGTTTATGTCTACATAACGTGTGTACCAAAAAAGAGACATTTTATTATATACCAAATTAATTTTTTATGTTTAAAAAATACCTTAATATTTTCTTTTTAGGCTAATAACAGAACCTTGCAAGAGAAGATTTTACAAGTAAACAATTTGGTAGAAGCCTTTGGCAATGCCAGCACTATTATAAATGACAATTCTAGCCGATTTGGAAAATACTTAGAAATGAAATTCACCTCTTCAGGAGCTGTTGTGGGAGCACAGATTTCCGAATATCTCCTGGAAAAATCCCGAGTTATCCACCAAGATATGTAAGTTTATCTCAAATCTCTTAGTATTGGGAATGAAGAGATCCCTTAGCACTGTCTTACTCTCAAATATATGTTACATCTAATAGAGAAATTAATAAATAAACTAAAATTTATGCTGCCAGATAGGAAACCTAAGCCCATCATAGAGGTGCTAACAATGTAAATTAGAGAGTGTTCTGATGCAGCAGAGAATATTTATCTATACAAAATTAATGTGAACTTTAATTAGAAATAACTGAGTCTTTTTCTCTTTTAAATGCCATCATATATAAATAGACCTTTGTATTAATTCTGTTCCTCCTAAGTTTACACAAGGGGCCAAATAAAAGATTCAAGAAGGAGCTTTATTATATTGGCCTTTTATTGCTGGCTGATTTAAGCCATCAATACTCTTCATAATGCTTTGATATTAAGTTGAATGAATTCCTTTTGTAGTTTTGTAGCTTAATGACAAAATTTCTCTCCTGTCTCCCCAAACATCTTTGTTATTCTAGTGAGGAAACTATAGTTACACATTGAATTTGTACCCTTGTACTTATATTATTTTGTTTAAAAGGATGGCAAGTTAGAGTCTTTCATTTTCCTTATGTTGGTTTTATGCTAAATATACTCTACATTATTGTAGTAATATGTCATATTAAATTCATAGTAACATATGTTGTATATTAGTACATTATTATTTAATGTAAGTGTGCCTTCAAACTTGGTATCATTCAATTCATGAGCAAGTCATGAATATAAGTTGCCTGGAGTCAGTTCCTGAGCACTAGCCTTAATATGGAAAATTGCCCTTTGGTCTTCAATTCAAAATATGGAAGGAATGATTATTAGACACATATGGTTTTCAGTTGTGGTATCACACCATTTTAATCCACCTTGGGTAAGATATTTAAATCTTAAAGATTCTTACAGGATCTTGACTCTGTAATTCATCATATGTATGATTTGAAACAGTTTACTTAACTTCTCTGCACCTCTGTTTTTCATCTTTAAAATGAAATAGCATCAGTACCTACCTATCAATTAAGACAACATATGTATAGTATATAGCACAATGAATGGCATATACTAAGAACCCCATATGTTTAAGCCATTAGTAGTAGTAGTCGTTGTGTTAATAGCTGATTAGAAATAACATATAGCACAGTACTTGGGATATTGAAGATGTTCAATAGATGGCAGATACTATTTATTGTGTGTGTCCAGTGCCCAAAACTCAGTGAACATGCATGTCAGTGCCATTGCCACCCATACCTAGAAGGACCTTGGGATCTTAGCAGATGTGGAAAATTAGGTAGTTCTCAAAAGCATTTATTCTGCTCTCATAATTGTGTAAGCCTCTCCTTCAGGCCCTTGGGGAAGAACTACTTAAGAGTAACTACTTGGTATTTAGATGGCGCCACCATGTTGCACAATGTCAAGGGATATAATTCATAGTGTGTTCTATGGAGCTGAGCACAGGAACACAGTTCATATAGATTAGCACATGAACAGGACCCTCTGGAGTTGCACAGTGAGCCCCTGGGCTTGTAACCATAGAAATAATCTCAATGCTTACTGAAATATTGCAGAATGTATTCTAAGAAATAGCATAGGCTAGATTATATTTAAGGCATGTTATGAATTAAGTCTTTTTTTCTCCCTAAGGAACTATTTTAATTTTACAACTTTGCTTATTGGGGAAAAGCATTCCAAATTTCAAATTCATAATCAGGTGGAAATATAACTCAGTTATAATTTGAGCACAGCTGTCTTTAATTTATAATACTTTTTCCATTTTTATATCTACTTTTTCTTTCACCTAATTTAATTGCATTTTTAAATTCCAGAGGAGCTTTTTGTAACCTATGAATATGAAAATATCAGACATGATTGATGGAAGAATTCTTCATAGGTACATTTAAAAATTATAAATTTAATTGCACTATTATCAATCAGGGTACTGAATGGAAAGAACAAGCTCAAGGGTTTTAACTGAGAAAACTGTTTACACAGGTCACATGGGCATTGAAGAACCAAGAATGAATGGTGAGATGCTCATGGACTAACAGGGGTGAGGAGCTATGGCTATCTTCCGGTCTGCAAGCAGAGGGAGGGGCAGCACTTGTGCCTGGTGCCAGCTGCAGCTGTGGATCAGGCGCTGCCTGTCTGGATCTATGGCCCTAGAGGAATGCAGCCAGTCAGGGAGAGAGCAAAGGGTAACATCCCATCCTTTCCCTCCTCCCTCCTGCCTGTTTCGTGCCTGTGCTTCCTATTGGCTAAACCCATATATGGAAGCCAGAGAGCAAGGGAGCCCAGGGATTGCAGGCTGTAGAGATTGGCCTTTGGGGTCCCAGAGCAAGACAAACAACAGTAGAAAATTTTCTGAGGAGCAGGGAAGACAAGTTTTTTTTTTTAAATAAACAAACCCTTTCTTTTAAGATATTTTGTTCTTTTCTTCACTTTTTACCTCTGCCCATGTCATCCCAGCCCAATCTCTGACCACATTTATTTTTAGATTACCTTTCTAATGATGATGGTGCTATCTTATTTCTTAAATCCTTTTGTAAACATAGGTGATTTTAAAGAAGAAAATTTTAAAAGAGGCTACTTAATTTCAAGGATAAAATGAACATATTGAAGGCAATGCTAGATAAGTCTCATAAATACAAATTATAGCTATTTCCATTGGAGTTTCCTCCTGTTACTACAGTGTAGTTCAGCAAGCATTGTTTGCATTTTTCTCATGTCCCCAGCACTTAACAGGACTCTAGAGGAGACATAAACAAGTGGCAGACATGGTGCTATCCATTGTGGAGGAAGGGAAATGTATTTATGGAGCAATTAATTTATATCAGGCACTGTGCTAAGCACCTTATGTCATTATCTCTTTTAATTCCTGCAGTCATGTGACATGGTGTCATTTACCCTTTCAAAAGTGAGAAACTAAGAGAGTTTTAATGAGTTGTTTAATGTCAAAAAGCCATCAACAACTGAGTTGGAACTTGAAGCCTCATTTTTCTGCCTGACTCCAAAGCCCACCATTTATTCACCCATCCATCCATCCATCCGTCTATTTGACACATATTTCTTCAGTGCCTACTGTGTGCTAGCCATAGGAGACAAAAAGCCAAGTAAGGCAGGATTCCTGTGATAACACAGCTCACAGTATAATATAAAATTTCCTGATCACTAATTGGTTTCTAGTCTCTCATGAAAGTAGGAAATGAGTTCATCTGCTAAGGTAGATGGCAAGAGAAGAGAACTGAGGAGACTGCATATCCAGGAAGAGCAAGTTTACAAGGAGGGAGCTGTGATTAAAAATGTAGGTTGGGGAGGGATAACATGGGGAGAAATGCCAGATGTAGGTGACGGGGCATGGAGGCAGCAAACCACCTTGCCATGTGTGTACCTGTGCAACAATCCTGCATGATCTGCATATGTACCGCAGAACCTAAAGTACAATTTTTTAAAAAATGAATAAAAGCATTACTTTATGAACACCCTGAAGTGCCTTAAGAATGCAAAGCTTCATTATTAGCTTTCAAAATCTGCTTGTTGGCCGCTTCGTTGGTGATTGAAAAGTTTCACAAGTGAGTTAAGCTACACCCTTGTGAGGACTTTGCCACCATTTGAAGGTGTCAGAGGCCTTGGCTGCACAGGTAACCCCCAGGGTCCAAAGCAGGTGAACACACACATGAGACAGCCCTGAGGGCCTTCCTGCAAGCAGGTAAGTGGAACTCACTCTGAAGAAGTGTTAGAAGATCCACAAGTAGAAATGACATCACAGTCAGAGAAATGATATTTGGTAACCAGCAAGACCCTGTGTCTGTCCCCAGGCAGTCCTGACCTGGGAACCCACAGAAACATTAGCAAGTGTAGGATACTATAGTGCTCTGTGTTCTTAAGCACAGCTTGATATAATTAGGGACCCCAGGTAAGCTTTGGAGGTATGTTCTTTTCCTGTTTCTTCAACTTTCTGATTTTTCACTGAAGGTCAGTATATTTTTGATAGTATCTCCAGGTCTTGTCAAATTATAATTCTCAGTAAATGTAAACTGATGAAGAGAAATCCATTAATATTTTGTGTCTAAGTTTATGACTCACTTTACTAATTGTACATTGTATCAGTTAAGTGTTAAGAATGTGATACAATGTGATTGTGGTTAATACTTAACTGATACAATATACAATTAGTATACATTGTTAACAATCGCAAATGTTAACACTTAACTGATACAAATGTGGTTGTGATTGTTAGCACTTAACTGATACAATGTACAATTAGTGTACATTGTTAATAATCACAATCATACTGTATTCGTTAAATGTTAACAATCAATTGTTAGCACTTAGCTGATACAATGTGCAATTAGTAAAGTGCAGCAATCAGTGTGACTTCATTAGAAGAAAGCAAACTAAATTATATGCTGCGCCAGTCATAGAGTTTTTGTTATTCTGTGGTGAGAAAATGCAAGAACTAAGGGAAACTTTCAGTTTTATCCTAACTTCATTCATGTGCAATGTTGGTATTTCTTGCAGTATCACTGGTGACTGCAGCAAGCAACAGAATAGGATGGGTTCTGAAGGAAGGGTGTGCCAGTCCTCACTTCAGCACCCAGCCTCTGGACCACCCTTTTCTTGAAACCTTCACTTTTTTTTTGCCCCATGACTAGATTCTCCTGATTCCTCTTCTACTGGCCTAAATTTTTCTTCTGTTTTAGATTTATCCACCCAGTCTCAAACTGTGTATTTACCAAAGATTTGTCCCTGCAGCTTTTCTCTTTTTCTGTCTATACTCTCTCACTTCACAAATTCTTCTGACATTGTGGCCTCAACAGACAGCCCTATGTGCTTGACACCCAAAGATGTACCTCTACCCCTCTCTTAAAACTGAAAAAAGTTAACAATTTTTTTTTATTTCCAAATACCTACATATCCTGCTATCATCTCAAATTCAACTGAATACACATCTCAAATCTGTTTTCCCATAGCCCCTTTCTTATGGAATGGAACATAACTTCTCTAGTTATGTAAGACCCTCCTTTCACTCATCAGACTCTCAGTGCAGAATGCGTGCTAACCAATATCATTGTAACTTTTCTCTTTAGAAAATGTCTTCCTTCCTTTTGAAATACTAACACGGAAGAACAGAGATCTGCATTATTCACCTTATCAAGCTCTACACTTTCATATTAACTATTTCTATTTGTTAACTTTCAAGAGAGACCAGAGTACCTTCAATAGTTATTAGTGTCTCACATGTAACAAACCTTTAATGTTATTTTAAACCTACATGACTTATGTGTTAGAGCCCTCAATGAGCTTCTGTAAAAATTATTCTTGTAATGGCTTTTGGCAGAACCTTGGATTAAAACTAGAGATTATAAAATAAAGCCACAGTTTCTCTAAAACTCCAAATATCTTTTACTGCATTATTGGAAGAGTAAATACATATGGATATGTTTGAGTTACTGTTGATTCTGAAGAAAACTTCTGTGTACTGAAAGAATGAATAATTTCTAGAGAGCAACAGTAAAATTTCCATCTCCACTGAGATGATACTGCACAATATATAGGAGGAGAAGACAGAAGACCCCTGACATGTTTTTAAGTTTTTTCTTAACCTTTTAAGTAAAATGATTTGTGTATAAGTATGCATATCATGAAGTAGGCTTTTTTTCTGTTCCATATACTTCATATGGAAAAGAATTCAAAGGCTCCTCTGTTCTACTAAAAATTAGCTTAGTAATAATAATTCCTTTTCTGAAAATATTTCATTGGCCCCCTAAGAGTGCTGATAAAGGCTGTGAATGGGGTGAAGGAAAGGAGCAGGAAGAGGGGGGATACAAGCTGCCCCTGAAGTTTCCATCTTGGGTGTGATGAGTTGAGGACCCAGAGCACAGTTGAGGCCACTGCCAAGAGTGGCAGGAAGGGGAGTAACCACAACACTTTAGTGTCTCCTGCCCCAACCCCTATGGTGACATCCAAAGCTTTGTGGTGAGGTTGAGAGTTTTATACCAACTGAAAGAGAAGTAATAATAGAAAGAAGTGAAGACAGCAAGGCCTTCTGGTTGAAACATTATAATTAATTTAATCCCTATAAGAAAAATCCTACCCTGTCCCAACCCCAGCCTGTGAGCCTAGTGATAAAGGAGTAAACAGTCAAGTGAAGATTGAGGACCACCCTAAAACAAGAGGAGGATCTAGTGGGAGGATGAGAATGGGAATGCCACAGAGAGATGCAAACCCCAGGTGTCCCAGCTGACCACGAGGGTCATCAAGAGTGGAAGCAAAGCAGGGCAGTAGAGATGGGGAAACTATAGAGCAAGCAATTCATCCTCTGCTATTTCAGTAGAGAACCTGAAAGTGTGATCTTTCCCTGGAGCCCACCAGAGCAGAAGGAAGACATGACGGAAGAAGGAGAGGGGACCCTGAGGTCCAAGGAATTATGTTGTGGAGCATCCTGAAGTGGAAACTTACCCTGTTGTGATCCATATTCCCTTAAAGACATTATTGCAGCATCTGGAAAATGCTATTTATACTACTTAGAACCGCAGAGTCATGGGATTTGAGACTTATAAGGAAGAGATTCCTCACACAAGTGAGAAAACTGAGCCTCAGAAAGACAATATTAAAAGGTGGTTAAAGACGTGGGCTTTGGAGTCAAATAGACATGATTCAAATCCATATTCATCATCAGTCCTGCAGCTTTGGGGGAGATTGGCAGCTCTAAGCCTCAGTTTCCTTCTACATAAAATGGGAAACACATGCCCACCTCAGGGGCTTATGGTGGGTTAATGAGATAATGTAGTGTTTATCGCCATTGGCATGGCTGTATATATTCTTTTTCTGTCTGTTCCATTGGCATGTAAACTCTAAGAAGTTAGGAATTTTTGACAGGTTTTGATCCCACTGTATCCCCAGCACTTGGAACAATGCCTGGAAGTCACTCACAAATGTATGCTGAATGATTCATATGAAGTGATTAAGATAATGTCTAGAATTTAATGAGAGTGGTTGTTGAAGATAATGACAACAATAACGACCACAGAAAGCCAAATGCAGTATTCAGAAAAGCCCATTGCAGCACTCACAGTCATGGTTTGAATAATTATATTGTCAAATAACTTAAACAAATATTCTTACTAACTACCTTACTGAAAATATCTTTTTTCCAGTGGAGAAAAAAATTTTCATATTTTTTACTACATTTATGCTGGTTTAGCTGAAAAGAAGAAACTAGCCCATTACAAACTTCCTGAAAATAAGCCTCCCAGGTAATCTACCAGGTTATACTTTCATGAATAATGCTTTCACTTTCCACTTAATTTTAGACTTTTACCCTTCCTTTTATATTTTTTTCAGGTACCTACAAAATGACCACCTCAGAACAGTACATGACATCATGAATAATAGTTTCTATAAATCTCAGTATGAATTAATTGAGCAATGTTTCAAAGTCATAGGTTTTACAATGGAGGTAAGTACGAAAGACACTTGAACCTCTCTTTTAAGTATCTTTTTATCATCACTAAATGTTAAGAGCATTTATTGAGTGATTGATATATGTCAGCCTAAGTGCTTTATGAAGCACTTCATAACAGCCTTATGAAATAACTGGAAATATAATATTTACTTTATAGGTGAAGAAATAGTGGCCTTGAGAGATAATTAAATTGTTTTGTTCTTAATCTTTTATTTTATTTATACTTATATTTCCCATATATGGGAAATGTAGAATATATATAAAAAATATATATAATTTTACATAAATGCATAAATGTGCATGTTTTTGTTAGTGCAATCATTTCGCTAACAACTTTATTAAGATGTAATTCACATACAATATAATTCACCCATTTAAAGTGTATATTTCAGTGACTTTTAGTATATTATAAAGATATGTATTCATTACCATAATCATTTTTAGAATATTTTCATATTATAAATTTTTCACCCCAAAAAGAAATATGGTAGCAATTAACATTTACTCTCAATTCTGACTTCACTGCTACTTTGTCAGTATAAATCTGATTTTTCTGGACATTTTACATATGTGGGATCATATACTATGTGATCCTTTGTGACTGGTTTCTCTCACTTAACATAATGTTTGCAAGGTTCATCCATTTTTGTAGCATGTATCAGTATTTCATTTTTTATTGTTGAATAATATTTCATTTTATCAGTATACTTCATGTTATTTGCTCATTCATTAGTAGATGGGCAACATTTGGGTTATTTTTGCTTTTTGTTTGTTATGAATAATGCTGCTATGAACATTCGTGTACAACTTTTTGTGTAGACATAAGTGTTCATTTATCTTTGATATATACCTAGCAGTACAAATGCTGAATCATAGGGTAACTCTGTGTTTAACCTTTTCACTAAATTGTCCAACTGTTTTCCAAAATCACTGGACCATTTTACATTCCCACCAGCACTGTATGAAGGTTCCAGTTACTCCACATCTTCACCATCACTTATTGTGATCTGTCATTTTGATTACAGTGATTCTAGTGGATGTGAAGAGGTATCACATGAAGGTTTGGTTGAATTTCCCTAATAACTTACGATGCTGAACTTCTTTTCATGTATTTATTGGTCATCTCTGGATCTTTTTTGGAGAAATGTCTGTTCAGGTCTTTAGCATATTTTTGAATTGGGTTATTGTCTTTTTATTATTGAGTTGTAGAATTTTTTTATATTCTACATACTAGCCCCTTATCAGAATCTGATTTTCAAGAAAAAAATCCCATTTGTTATATTTTCCCTTTTTTGATGGTGTCCTTTGAAGCACAACAGTTTTTTATATTTTATGAAGTTCAATTTATCTATTTTTCTTTTATTGCTTGTGATTTTGGTGTTATATAGAAAACCATTGCCTAATCCAAGGTCACAAAGATTTATGCCTAAGCTTTCTTCTTATAGTTGTATAGTTTTAGCTTTTACATTTAGGACATTGTTCCATTGTGAGTTAATTTTTGCGTATGTTGTGAGGTAGGAATCCAACTTCATTCTTTTGCTTCTGGACATTCAGTGTACCAGCACCATTGTTGGAAAGATTATTCTTTCCCCATTGTTCTTGGTCAAATATCAATTGACCACAATCAAGTCTATCTCATTGATTTATATATTTATATTATACCAGTATCACACATGAATATTGTAGCTGTATAATAAGTATTGAGATTGGGAAGCATGAGTCCTATGACTTTGTTCTTTTTTTAAAATATTTTTGGCCTTTCAGGGTCAGTCCCTTAAGCTTTAATATAAATTTGAAGATCAGCTTGTCAATTTCTAGAGCCTTTAAAAAATCTTTTTGTTCAGCTCTCTCTTCCCCATCTTACCTCCTTATATCTGTATCTGCTATCTTTCTCTTTCTCAGCTAATGGATGTATACATGGTCCAATATTCCATATTTATTTACCTAGTCCTAGAGTCTTATTTATACATAGACACACACACACACACACACACATATACACAAATGTGGACACATGCATATATATGCTGAGATGGTCACTGTTTTATTAATATGGGATTATATTATACACACTTTTCTATATCTGATTTTTCTTATTCAGCAATACCTGTGAAAATCCCTTCAAATCACTGACTCACTTTTTTTTAAAGGCAGTGTAATATTCCATGGTGTGTACTACCATAATTTATTCAGCTATTCAGTTACGACTGGGCATATAACTATGAATGTTTTCAGATCTTTGCCATCATGAGCAAAGCTGAAGTATGTTGTTATTGACTGGTGAATTTCTTTCTATGGGATATGTTCCTAGTAGTGGAATTTGTGGGTTAAAAGGTATATGTATTTTAAATTCGAATAGAAATTGCAAGATTGCCTTCTGATAATTCCGTAGCACTTCACATTTCCACCAATGATGCATATTAATACATATTAATACCCTTCCCCCACTTATTCCTGCCAGCAATGTGTCGTGGCCTTTTAAATATTTACTAGTCTGATGGGTGAAAGTAATATCTCATTTTAAATTTGCATATCCTTGAGAAATAATATATTTGAACATCTTTCCATTTGTTTGCCAGCTGCTTATATTTACTCTTATGAATTGTATATTTATATATGTTGCCCCTTTTATTGAATTATTTATATGTTTTATGTCAATTTTTAAGAGCTCATTGAATGTTATATACATTATAAGTTTTCTATCATTTGTGTTATAAATGTTTTTATAGTTGTAAAATTTTTCTGTGACTTACTTTTTGTTATATTGTTTACCATAATGAAATTTTAATTTTTGTTTATTCAAACAAATTTACCTTTTTGTTCTTTACATCTAGGTCTCTAGTTTCTGTTTAAATGTTTTCCCCTGACTCTAGGTAGTACATGTAGTCTCCCAGATTTTCTTGAAAGTTTAAATAATAAATTTATCATTAATCCACTTGAAATTTATTTTATGGTACCAGATGGAGCACTACGTTTCTTTTATTCCAGATGGAGAGCCAGAATTGATTTATCCTATATTAAGCCCTCTTATGACATGTAATCTATTTTCGATGCCTCTATTTTAGCCATCAATCTATGTTTTCTCTTTCTATAGCAGGATTATTTTGACTTGATTACAGTGGTTTGATTCTGTGTTTCTCTAGTAAGACATCTGTCTAGTAAGGCTATTCTTGTTCTCACTTTATTCTTTTCCATACTTTCCTTAGCTATTGTTTAGCATGGCTTATCCATGTAAACTGTAAGATCAATTTGTTCAGTTCCAACAACCCCAGTTGGACTTTTAATTAGAATTGTATTGAATTTATATATTAATTTTTGGAGCACTGTTATTTTCATGATATTTATGTCTTCTCATCCCAAATTTTGACGTAACTTATGTACTTTTTGTTATATGACTTTCCATTTGTTTAGATGCTGTTTTGACTTTTTAATAATAATCTATAGTTATATTCATCTAGAACTTGTGCCTTATTTTTAAATTTATTGATAACTATGTTAAGGTTTCTATTATAAGTGAGAGGATATTTCCATTGGTAGAATTTTTGAAATATATAATCGGGTCATTAGCAAAAAGAAGAGTTTTACCACTTTCATGTTATGTCAGTCATTTCTTTCTTTCTTCTTCTTTTTTTTTTTTTTTTGTACTTAGATCATCTAAGACTAGTCAAAGTCAATATTAAGCAATAATGATTATAGTAGGCCTCTCAATCAGTTTCTGATTTTAAATGAAATAGTTTTGGTGTTTTGCTATTTTTTGAAAAATAATATTTATCATAATTAATTTCCTTTTATTGTTGTTTTACTTAGGGTTGTTATTAGGAATTCTGCTGAATTTTATTAAATGTTTTTTCAGCAGCTATTGATATAATTATATTTTTTGCCTACAGCACTTTGTTGATGTCTCCATTTTATGTTGACAAATTTCTTAATATTTTCAAATGTTCTTGAAAATAAACCCAATAGAGTCCATCTATTTGATAAACTTCTGTATCTATGAGCTTGTGCTTTATTTAGAATTTTTGCATCTATATATTTAGCAATGAAATATATCTATTGTTTGGTTTTCTTTCATATCAGATTTGATTACTAAAGTTATGGCAGTGAGCTTCTTTCTTTTTTCTTTGGCCTATGTGAGTTAAAATCATTTTCAATGTTCTTGGAAGATAAGAAGCACCTCAACACACATACATGAGTCTTAACCACACCTACCATATGGAAATTTCTGAGAGAGAGACCTAGTATTCTGTGCCATTACCAGCACCCCAAGTGATTCTTATCATTAGAGAAGATTGGAGACATGTCTTTTAAAACCTTAAATAAAGATTAGGGTAAAACTCAACTGTGTGTGCCTCTGACCCTTGGGCCTTTTTGATATTGAGTTTTTAAGTGCCTTTCTAATTCTTCTAGGATAATCATCTATTTGAATTTGCTCTTCTTTTTTGGGTTATATGTATTTTGCTAAAAAATTATCATGAAATCTTATGCCATAGATTTGCTTGCTGAATTTTCTTATAATACTTTAAATTGATCCTGTATCCCTGGCTTTATTTCCTTTCTCATTCCAATGAGAAATTCTCTTTTTTGCCTTTGTTCTCTTTTATATTTAATTGGGTTTACAATGGGTTTTGAATCTTTAATAAAAGAAAAAAGCAGAACCACAACAATGGCTATTGAATGCATTTACCCATCTGATAAATGTTTTCATTGTCTGTATTATTGATTTTAATTTGATTTTTATATTTTTATTATTCATTTGTTTCTTCTTTTCTTTTTTCACAAGAGAATACTTGGTTCCTCTCTTTCTTTATATTTTTAATTGAATAATGAAAGCATTTAAGGCTAGAAATTTATCCCTGAGTAATAAACACTTCCTTATGTCCCAAAGGTTGTATTTTTTAATTTTTATAACAAAGTATTGTGTTTAATAGGGACTCCTAAGGCTTTTAGAGAAGCTTTCAGACTTTACTCTTAACAACTTATTGTTTGCTGTGTTG